CAGTATTTTTAAATATACTACAGTATATTCACAAGACATTGATATACTAATTTTAATTTCAATCTATAGATAAAATATACATTACTGTTATAGAAAGCTCAACGAAATATACAGAACTGAACAAGACAATTATTATCATATTTATAAACTTACACAACCCTATTAATATTTACAGTAGACTCAATATTTTAAATTGCAAATCAAAATTATTTTAAAATAATTTTTGAATACGGTATTTGTAGCAGGATATACAAATTATATCTGTATATTATATAAACATAGTTTGATATCATAGTCACATTAGAATATAACTGAATTTAATATACTGGATCATTTGTTTATCGTGATATTGTAAAAGATGATTGATCTTGTTAGACCACAAAATGACCCGTTATATAACAATTGTGCTAAAAACAAATCTATAATATTGTTGTCCACATCTATCCACAACGTCTTTAGATGACGCAAATGTTCACTCAAATTATTGTTTAGATGAAGTATTTGTTATGAAAATATGACAAAATAAGACTGTTTTTGACGTTAGGTATATTAGTAAACAATTAAATTTTCTCTCTATAATCTCACACTTTTTTTGTCAACTAATACATGAAAGCTATTGAAAAATCAATATTAACTTGAATTGCATTTAACTATAAGTTTAAGTCTATTGAACACCACTTTTATTCAGTTTATATAAAATTATAAGAAAAAAATTTCAAGAAAAATCGATGACAAAAGACAAACAAAAAAGCATTTCTATAACATTTTATGACTAAATAGTGAATATTTGTATTTTATTAATATTCTTGTGTCATATAAACTATAAGTTTAGTAACAATTTATGTTTCGGAATCAATTTAGTTAGAATTACTTTATTTTGACATTAATATGTAAAACAAATATTTGAATGTTTTTTATTTTTATTCAAATAATAGTAATACCGATAATATATATAGAGCATCAAGTTTACTTGAATAACTTAAAATAATGGTTCAAATGAATGCTAAATCTGACATAAACTCTAAAATAAAAATAAAATTACTATAAATATTTACCTATGCTATTCTTAATTATTAAATGAAGTACAAAACATAACCCAGAATTAGCGGTAATTATAAGAATAATTATAAATTTAGAGAAAGCACTCATCGTATCGCTTGAAGTAATAAAACAAAGAAAAAGGATTCAAATTAGAAATTAGATAATAGAGTGGAGAATATATTCAGTGAAAATGTTGGAGATTAGCCAACACTTGAAATGTGAGTTCAAATTCAAAAATAATGTCTTAAAGACATACAGAGGTCTTACAGGATAGAATTGAAGTCATGAGTCATTTAGAAAGAGAAAAACTTTTCGACAATATATTTGGTTAGTCTTTAAGTGAGACTTACTCTCAAAATTCAATACTTTCTACTAAAATAAATACAAATTTGCTCTCAAATTCAGTTACGACTGAATATATGCCACAAGTTTTGTAAGAAATTTGAAGTATTTTCTAAATTTTTCTTATTATGCTTCTAAACTACTAATATTACTAAAACTACTAATAGTAATTCTTTAAATTGTACTATTTATTGTACATTTTATCAATTATTCAAACGCGTTATTTCAATTTATTTTATTGAATTGTATTTTAGTTTTCTTATTATTAATAATGTCTCATAAAATGTATAGCTATTATAGATTATTTAGTTTATAAATTAAATTTATATAAAATTAATTTTATTAATATCTTATACTTATTATATTACTGTTAGTACTTTATTTTGTAACAATAATAAAATAATTTATGATTCATTCTACACAATACAACATCTTTGTATTTATATTTAATTTTGTTTTTTATTCAAAATAAAGTAGAATTAATATTTTCACTAAACGTCTTACATTTAAAAGATAAAATATAAATTAATCAATTTTTGTATTTAACAAATTAAAAATTATTATCATAAAATTAAAAATTAAATTAAATAATAAAAACTAGATTTTGATTTTTAACACATAATTAAATATTTATTTTAAAAGTTAACATATTGTGTAAGTAAAAATCTTACGAAATCTTATTTAACAAATATTTGTTTAAGACGTAAAATTATATAATTATATAAAAATAGATAACAATTACTTACTTTGAAAAGTGATGAAATATAAAATTTAAATTTCACCCGAGTTAATCTTATTTCGACTACAATATAATTAATTAATTGCTTAATTTGGTAGACATTTGTTTTAAACCATAATAACTAAAACCAATCCAATTGTAAGATAGGATTAAATGATGTAATAAATAACACGTGAATTAATAAAATACTGCCAAACGATACGATATATGATTTCAAATGGGATTGAATGGTGAGTGTTGTGTGCATTCAAAGCCTGTTTCCATTTGCTTATCATTTGAACCATAAGTGATGCGACTTTCAGGAGCGCATCACTTGTAAGTCATGCGCCAAATGCCATCCCTTCCCTCTACTGAGTAGTACTGACTTCCCTTATAACGAACGCTCCATAATTGGGGGTCAGATAGTAGTCGTAACCATTGACACACACAAACACGCTATCAGTTTTTGGATACAAAACCCAAAGTAAATTCATTCATAAATTCATTGATTAAACAACACATAAATCACACGAAAGGTGTGTTCGTTTGCAATGGGTTCACAGCTTCTCCATTCATGTCAACCAATATTTTTGCAATTAGTTTGAAAATATATTTATCACATATTAATACAATTTATTATTTATTTAAAGTAAAGTGTAAAATATGTTTCCATAAATCATAAAATAATATTTTTATTGATTTTTCAAATAACGTTAAATTATCATAAAATATATCTCACATAAAGAGAGTATTTAATGTATAATACTGTAGATAAAATACTGTATATTACCGTATATTTAATGACTTTTATGTAATATGACTAGATATAAATATATAAATGACTAGAAATAGCGAAAATGTGGTAATTGTTGAGTAATATTGTTATAAATAAGTTAATATAAAAATATCATTATTCTGACACAGAATTTCTGATTAGATAATGATTATAAGATCAATATTAACAAAATATGTAATTATAGTGTAAAACACAGTACAGTACAGTAAACAAAAACCCATTTACCGGTAGTGAGTTAAAGTAAACAACAAATAAATGTTAAATACAGACTCATCTCAATAATTATGAGGAATTAAATGAGAAATCTTTGGTCCAGAAGTGCCTTTCGAATCAAATTTTTTCGTGATATAAATAAATAGACTCTTCTTATGAACTGAAAACATGAGACAAAATCAGCAAAAGTTGAATAAAATTGTAATTTTTAGTACCTTTGATACAAAGAATGTAAGAATGGCTGCGAATGTGAAGTTTTTCGCAAAGATATCAATGACCAAAAATAAAAGAGTTTCAAAACACGTAAGAGTAAACTCTGAGCCATAGAATAGAATGGCCTCGAAGGAGTGACCATTATCTGCAATGAATGTCTGATTGAAAAAATGACATTAACTTAAACTAAATTGAAATACCGCTATAAAAGTATCCCTTATCTCTAGTGTCAGCAAACTCCACGTCCAGTACTAACTCAACAGTGGACTTCTCGCGAACCATATAATCAACGTCCTTAAAGTTATGTTCAATAAAACCGGTCAAAAATTTATTAATCATGAGATACGTTGGGATCAGTTTCTCGGTGTCGGCTTTGGATAAATGGGCGCCAAATGAGCGCATTCTGTCACTTATTTTGACAAAACCCGACAGATTTGACCGAATTCTGCGGTAGTGTTCATCGATAGCGGACGGCAAAGACATCGTGAATGTCTGCTGATCCGTATTCGGCAGAAGTCCGCGTTTAGAGCAGAGATCGCTCTCTTCCCGTTCCAGTTGTTCATACATTTCCAACATATTTACGTCACTTTTGCCATTCGCTGCCAATCCGTGGATATAATAACCAAACCGTTTGTATTGCATCGCAAACAAACTGATCTAAAGTTTGTTTAAAATAGAAAATAACTTTTAAATTCATGTCAATAGAGATGTCATTTCTTAGCATTACATTGCAAACAGAGCACAAGTCGACAAATTGATACAATTTATTATTCAATAGATTTTCGTAAATGAATTTTTTGAACGCAATGTTAAGAAGTGCGAGAATGGCGTAAACAAGTGCTCCGATTGAGAGCCGACCCGTTCTACTCATGAGTACATATGGCTGTGACTCGTCTTGAGATTCATCTCTTGGCAGCCAATGTTTAGCCTCAGTTTGGGCTAAGTTTGCGAAATTTGCGTACTGTTTGATATAAAAAGCATTGATTATTACATAACAAACACTGAATGAGGAAACCTTACGTCCAAAACCAGAATGACAAGCAATATATGGATACTAAGACTGAGGCGTCTGTGTCCACACAATTCCATCCATTCATTGGCCACGAAATTAGTCCTCCAAACGGTTACGTTTGGGAATTCATACAATGGTTTGTCTGCTATTAGTTTGGGCGACGGGGATGATAGGGATCCACTGATGCTAAGTCTGGGCCTATTATGGCGGTCACTAATCTCTGCGTTTGCATTTTGGGTGTCATTCAAGGCAATGGCCGGTGATTTGGTTAGAGATATAGCCATAGAAGTGGTGTCTCTCTTCTTAGGCCTCTCCCAGTCGATGAAGAATACATCGATAGTAGAGATGACCAGCAATTGGTATAACAAGTGAACGCATTTCAAGCAAAAGGCAATTATGATATAAGTTATTAAAGTTGTTTCTTGGGATTCAGACAATACTGTATGAGTCGTGTCCGCCATCGACTGCTTCTTATAGATTATGAACACTTTGATGGCAAACAACACGTTCACGAAGAAGAACACATTCGAGATCATAGCCATTGTGTTGACCATAAACTCCACGATTGTCATCATATCGATGGCAGTCTTTCCATTCCTCTTCGCCCAACACCACGTCCTGAATATAGCCCACAGAACAGCCGCATAGCAAAGAACGTTAAGGATTATCGAGTGGATCCACTTGTGGTGCGAGTCATCGATGATCTGTGTGGACGAGCTGTTGCGAGCATGTCTTGTTGTGTTATCACCGCCGATGACAGTCACCACAGCAGCCAATTGACAGACAATCACCTGTCCGTAAGAGATCATCATAACAGTGACGGGAAAGACCTGCTTTGCGAGTCAATGGTCATCAACATCAAGAACTGGTCCATTGAATAGTTGATCCAGATCAAGTTTAACACTATTTCAGCATCACTTGCATAACCACTTAATAATGATTGAAATGTATGTAAACTAACAGTAAATGCAATACAATATGAATAGTAATGTGTTTATAGCCTATAATTGCTATACAAATGACATTCAATTGAATGCCAAAAAAGTTTTGTTTGTTTTGAATTTGATGTCAATTTAAATGCATTTCTATGGAAACCAATGCATTGCATGTCATAAATGATGTCAATATTTATAATGTGTTTATATTTTTTGTGTCAAATTTTCGGTAAATTAAGTGATCATTGAATTGAATTCAAAGCTAAAGTCATTCAAAGAGTTTGCGTTTCGTGTGAAGAGCTGATCCAATCATCACATGAATGGCGAGTCTATTGCCAGAGACGGACAGCGAAGACGAGTTACCCAATGGGTATATATTGTCTCACTTTTGCCACAATCAGGTCTTATGATTGACTTCTTGTGTCCAACAGTTGGGAACAGAGGCTCACATTAGAGGGAAAAGTATTTTACGCTAAGTATTCACCACTTGTCTCATGAGTTGTGTGTTTGCATTCATACTAACGGATCCGTTATATCGGTAGTCATCAGCAGAAGTCGACGCAATGGACACATCCACTGACCGGCAAACGGAAACGAGTGGCCGGAGAACTGCCTTTCGGTGACTCTTATGTCATATTATCTCACATTTAATACTCAATTAATTGGTTGACATTTGCGTTGAAAGGATGGGAGCGACAGATCCTCGACGACGGAACTGTTATATATGTCGAGTAAGTGCTGTCATGTCTTGACATTTGTGTCCATTATTCTTATGATTGATATGTTGTCACCGAAAGCCATACGACCAAAAAGACTACATTTACTGATCCGAGACTCGCGTTTGCCATCGAAGACACAGACAAGGAAGACATCGTTCAAAGGTTTGACGCGTCGAGTACTGGTGACCAAGTATTACACGGACGAGACCTCACCGGAAAAGTGGTGATCATAACGGGTGCCAACTCTGGTATTGGGTTGGAAACCGCCAAATGTCTGGCCTCTAAAGGGGCGCACATTATAATGGTCTGCCGTCACCTCAATAGAGCCCATGAGGCCATTGAGTACATCAAGAAGTCTGTGGTAATAATATTCTGTCATTGAATTCATAGGAATGTTACGATAAAACAATATAATCCCTCAAATGTTAGCCCAAAGCAAAACTCGATGCCTTAACCTGTGATTTAGAGAGCCTTCAAAGTGTTCACCAATTTGTCGAAGAATTCATTTCACTTCAGCTGTAAATAAGTTTTACTCAATCTTTGTGTTAATTTTATGTCAATTAACGGTCTGTCCCTTACAGTCCCCTCCATATCCTTATTCTAAACGCCGGTTCAATGCTTTTGCCTCATTGTCTAACAGTGGATGGCTTTGAGACCACCTTTCAAGTGAACCATTTGTCACATTTTTATTTGACTAAATTATTGCAACAAAAGCTCATCGACTCGTGTCCGGCGCGGGTGGTTGTCCTCTCGTCCGAGAGCCATAGGTTTAGTACAATGAGTATTGAGACACTGAGTCAAGAATGGGTCTCACCATCGACTTCACGTAATTTCGTATCTATGATGGCATACAATGACTCGAAATTATGTAATGTTTTGCTCTCAAACGAATTGAATCGTCGACTTTCGGTGTATGGCGTGAACAGCAACGCCTGTCATCCCGGAAACATGATTAGCACCGGACTATCGCGCAACTGGTGGCTCATGAGGGGTCTGTTCGCGTTTGTCAGACCATTCACCAAATCTGTGGTATGCAATCAAATCTATTTTCATAGTATTTTATACGTTATTTCGATCGACGCTTAAAGTTGTCAAAACTGAGCGACACTTCAATGAACATTGTATTTGATTTCAAAGCCTTTTTGTCGTTATTTGAAATATTTTACGCGAATATTCTCTCAAAATAACGATTTTTAAAGAATGTATCAATTTTTTGGCATAAGATATGAAAATTGTTTTTAATAAATATTTTAATTTATGGTTTAAAAGCTAATTAAAAGCGGGTTTCGTTTGAGGCACCGAATAAAATAGAGATTATTTTAATTACCCATTTATATGCATTTAGATTTTATGATCACTTTTAAAATATTACACAAACAGTGTTCGCGTCTCGAAAGCAAATGTTAATACAATTTATATTAAAATTTGTTTCAAACCCTTATTCTAATAATAGATTATGAGCTCAAGTCTGAGACCAATAAAAGTATTTTTCTTTTTCCACATTCGGAGTCATTAGTCATTAGTTTTGAAAAAAGTAATTCACAGTCTTTATAATTAGTTGTTTGTTGTCTACAAATGAAATATATTTTTGCCAAAATAAATCTTTAAGACAAATAAAATACATGTTCGGAATCGTTAAGATTTGGAGTTTTATTCAATTTGAATGTATGGTAGAAATATATAATTATTATTGACTTTTTGACAACTCATTGCTTTTATATTCGTCTAACAAGTAAAAGAAATCCTTTTAAAATTATATTTTTATTGCAATAATTTATAGTTCAAAAAGAGTTGAGAATTTGTTTATAGAATTTAGAAATTTATGTTTCATTCAAGTCTCGAATCATTGCCTTAAAATCTAATTTGAAAACTTTAAACTTATTATTATTTGTATATAATATTGGAAATTTGAAATAATAATTAGAATTATGGTTACAAACTCTAAAATTAGTTAAACTAATATCCCATTGGTCTGGAAAATAATTATATATTATTTATAGAGAATATTATTATTAATTACTTACGAGATTGTTTGAATGTTTAGTTTTAAATCATTTTAAAGATTTTTAATCTTTTAAGTATTGAATTCCACATCTCTTCTGAATATTAAATATCGTCTCAATACTAACCATTTGTTTTGATTGGAAGTGAATGTGTTGTCAATATATTTAGACACAACTAAAGTAATATTTTAACGAATTTATATACAGTATAAACAAAAAATATTTATAAAATGTAAGAATATTATGGAGTATGTGGAATGGATTTACTGCAAGCTTATCTTATACTCGATAAGGTATTTTCAATTTTATTTTCAATTCATTTATGGATGAATTGAATCCAATATCTTATGCAATCAAATACTGTACAGAAGATGTCGAATATATGTATAAACATATTGAGAATATATTATATGAAAAGTTGTTGGACATGACAGGGACAGGGATGTGCAACGCCGGTGTATTGCGCCACCGCTCAGGAGTTGGATGGCATCGGTGGTCTCTATTTTAATAACTGCTATCAATGTTTGCCTTCAAAAGCGGCCCAAAACACCGATTTGTCGGCTTCTCTATGGCTGTTAAGTGAAAAAATGATTGAAAACGCTATCAAACAATTGAAGTCTCAATAATTGATTGAATGATCGATTGTTAAACATTGAACTGAACTTTTATTTGTTTTGCCATTTTTTGTGTATAAAAAACATTTTTTATTTTTTTGTATTTATTTTATCCGTCAAAATATAGAAACTTTATACACAATATAATAAAATGAAAAACTTTTTCCCTTTTTTGTATCACTATTTAAGCCGCGATTTTGTGTTTTAAACTACAATATTATATGGGAGTTAACTGAACAGTAGTTATAGTCGAGCGCATAGTTGTTGGTCGGCCTTAGAGTTTGCTTTCAAATTTGATTTATAGTCTAACGGCGCGACCCGTACTCGTGTCAAACCGTACGACTCGAGTCAATATATCTTTTTTATTTAGTAAACAGCTTTCCCTTTGTTTAAACGCTACCAAAAACAAAGATTACCTCAAATTCTATGAAATACTTTTCTCCTCTGATTTTTCTCCAATTCTATTATTTTTCACACATGTGTTGAACATTAAGTAATGTATAAAAAAAAGTTATCCCCTTTTTGTTGTATAACTTTTTCAATCTAAAGATCTTATCATTTGAACGCAAACTTTACGATCTATTTATCAAAATTTTATATTTATATCAACATTTTTAGTTCAATTGATTTACATATTTAAAGTGTTTCGATGTTAATCGTTGTCTCGTTAAATGTAAAATGATTTATTCATTTATATAGTTTTTATGTTTAACTTTTCGCCGAAATACATGACACTTTACAACAATATTTGAATAATTAGTGTAATTAAGCATTTAATGTGATTCGTGAACATATGAGAAAATGTAATGATTTTTAAACACTTAATAAGAGAAGAATTTATGAATTAGTATTTTATACCGAAATAATTACCAATCTTTTAGTATTGAGTTATGCTTTTCAATGAACTTCTCTTACAATAAGAGCTTATTTTGAGAGAAGTTTCTAATAAAGCATTGTTTTGTTCCCTTCACTAATAGCCTATCAAAGAGAGTCTTGCAATGAGAGGAAAGTGACAAAAATGGTAGTCTTTTCATACTTTTAAGCACTTGTTTTAATTGATAAAAAGATGCGAAACAAATGTTAACATAAGTGGACAGAACTATAGCGCATACAGTTAGCCCCTACATGTAGGATGTTGGGAGAGAATGTATGGTAGAGTCGGTTCACTTAATTACCTCTAATGTTATGCCTGTTTTTGTTTTGTATGGACTATTGTTTTGTGCCCTTAATGTTGTTTAGCGCCGATATCTATGACTCCGTAGAGCTCTCAAGAGCTTATGGTTTGTATATTAGCGGAGTGTTAGCGCCGATACCCTACTCCATGAGCTGTCTATTAGGCGCTAACTTAGTATCACTTCTTTTGCTAATTAAAATCAAGCGTACGATCCGTTCGATCCTTTAATATAAATGAATACGAGGGCAGAGAGGGTGAGAGCGGGTGGGGAAAGGGAGCACATCATTAACATTAGTTTAAGAATATAGTGATTACTAGATCTACACTTTCAACACACAAACAGTTAGTCAAAGAGAGGCATAAGAGGAGCACAAGTAGTATCTGTTTAATTGATTTGCAACTCACAGACAGCTCTCTCTCTCTCTCTCTCTCTCTCCTCGCTCTCTCTCTCTCTCTCTCTCTCTTCCACTGGTTTCCACTCCAGCGCCCCATTAATCGCTCAATAAAAAAGAGCACTGAGAATAGGACTGATAGAGCACTGGTAGTTACAAATTACATGCTAGTGCTCAACAGCGAACAACAGCACTAATTTCATATTAACACTAATGTAAATCTCATTTGTCTCACAAAAAAATGAAGATTACTTTCAGTGCCCGACTCTCTACCAGCACTTCCACTCCACGGCTGACTATTTAGTCGGATTGAGAGCCAATTAAATGGTAGACAAGAATCGCCTAAATATACAACAAATAGAGTTCTCTTAATTCATTTGTAAATACAATGCACTCATCACTCACTGCCCGTCCAATGAATATAAGATATGCTGCCTATCCATGAGTCCATTCGTTTCCAGCGTTTCTCCTATCAGTCAGATAATAGTTGTCCACAAATACACTGTCTTTATGTGTGTTTCCTTTTCTCATCTCTTTTGGATGTGTGTAAACACTTCGGCCTCTAATCTCTAATCCAATTGCCTGTTATTGTCAGGAGAGGCCAATTGGCTCCAAAAGAATACATAGAAGTTTATACAGTATTGTGAAAGTGAGTCAGTGTGGAGAGAGAGAGAGAGAGTGAGAGAGAGAGAGAGAGTGAGAGAGAGAGAGAGAGAGAGAGAGATGAATTACATCCTATGTCTATGACTCCAACTTATAGAGCCCTCCAGTTATGATACAATACTTTAATAGAAAATTCTGTTTCCAAAGAATTACTAAAAGTCTAATTCAAACTCTGGAGTTAAATGATTTTATTATTTGAAATTTGGTGTTAAGTTAAACAAGGATTGTATGGCGAGGGTATGGGGAATGGCATCATAACTACAGAATTGTACAGTATGTCACACAAAGAATGCATTTATTATTGGTTTTAAAACTGGTTGAACACCAGTAGATTTCTATAATCTATAAATATAGCTACCATTACCCGTAAGTTATGCTATGAATGAATTGATAAAATAGATTTCAATTTCAAATTAAGATTTAGATTTGACTCTTATTTTAGGCCACTATTTGTGTGCTTATTATATAGCGCTCCACTTTGTATGCTATTATTGTTAGGATTTAAGGCTTTGTGTTAGTCTTTCCTTATAAATGTTTAATGTATTTTCACTCAAATATTCCATATATATTATCTCATATATAGTGGCCATATCCAGGCGCTTAAGACTTTCCCATTTCAAGTGATTGTTATATGAATAGCGAGAAGAATGCCGTATTGGTTGCAGTTTTGGCTGTCCCTCAAACTTAATGTAATATTAAATTCATTCTTTGAATAACTGTTATTAAATGCAACTCTTATTTCATATCAATTCATATTATGGTTTGTCGTAAAACATATATTTTTACACAACAAATAAACTCTGAAATTCATATTGTAGCAATTACATTAAGCATTATTGCACTTCTAATGTATACTTTATTCAATTATTCAAATAATGTATACCTTATTTAGAAATACAATTTAAAACTAATAATTTATTTTTCTTTGTTTCAACAAAAGTTTTAGTGATTTTTTCCAGAAATGAAAAATAAATGCAACAAATTGTAGAATTAATGGTTTTTATATTTAGCAGTACTTAAGAAGTGATACTTTACTTTGGATTCTCCTAGAATATAAATATCAATAAATAGTTGAATTGTATATTTGGCACACAGTTTGATAGCAGACAAGGCTTATGACATATAATATGTGTCAAATCATTGCTTATTTACTTCTTTGACTTTTCATATAAACATTATTTCATATGACTATCGAATTACAAAAACTTTGAATTTTGAAATAAATATACTTTTGATTCTTGTTTTGTTTCTCTCGCTATCGTTGCGAGACTCCAGACGAGAGAGTCTTTTATGAGTTTTGAGAACTCTTTTTAAGTTGTTTTCACGGATAAAGTGTTTAATAATACTATAAATTAAATAAATTTTGGTTAAATAAACTTTTATCCCATGTCTTATCTGTTTGGGTTCACAACATATCAGACAAATAAAAAGCAATTGAAATGAATTCTCACAAACATTCTCACAATCAATGCATTCAAGAGTCTCTTTCCTTTAGTTGACATTAAAGGAGAATCTGTTTTATAAATTCAATCTTTTTTGTTGATTTTGTCTCAAATGGAAACTGAAACTCATGTCACTTGTTGGCTATTCTTTCCATTCTCTCGATTTACTTCTAAAATACAATCAAATCTACTCTATATTCACATTTCTCTCACATATCATCAT